AATTTATTTTTAACTTAATAATATAATTTTTTTATAAGAATAATAATAAAGTATTTTAAAATTCAATGATTGTTCTAATTATATTTTATTTTTTATATTTAAAATAAAATATTTATCTTGTATTTGATTATGTTTATATTCAGTTAGTTATACGAATTCAAACATTGAGCTTTAATAAGTTGTAGTTACGCACAATTTATTTGTAATCTTGAATTTTAAGTAATATAATCAATAAACAGTATTTCATGCATAAAAAATAGCTTTTAAGAATTCTTTCAAATGCTTTATAATATAATATAGATAATCTATAAAAAAAATGGGTGACTAAACCCAAATTGATTTGTCACTCAACCAGGAAAAAAACATATTAAGCATTTTCAACAAAATTTTTTAAAATAAAGAAAATTGGATTTTGTTCTCTATTTTGCTTTAACAGATATTTTATATTGTTATCTAAAATAGAGAATATTAAAGAAAGCTCCAAGTTTAAAGAATTATATAAAGAGAAATAAATCAAAACATCCATTGTCAGATGTTGGTTTCATCTTTTAGCTTCTAAAATCATCAAAAATATCTCTAGGTCTCTAAGTGACAGGTCTGCAATTTACGAAAGGGTCAAAGTGTAAAAAAAGTTTCTAAAACAGGTCCGCAAGTTCAAATACCAAATCTATAAGTTAGTCCCAACAACTCTGCAAATTACGGACTTATAACTTGCAGACTTCTATTCTACATATTTGATCTCTGCACTTGCGAACCTTATTTAGAAATTTCCTTTTTTTCACTTTGGTCTCTGTCACTTGCGGACTAATGACATCTTGGTGATTTTAGAAGAAAAGTGGCTAAGAGTTGAAACTACAGGCGAAAAATGGTCATTTTTATTAATTTCCCTGTAGAGAGAAAAATTAATTTTTTTATCCATTTCCATCAATAAAATGAGTTATTATTATTTTATAGAAACTTCTTTTAGAAAAGTGTACTGGGATGATAAACTTATAGTATATTTATAGAGAATTTATTGAAGTTAAATGTAATTATTTTATAATTTTAACTTTTGATTTTATATTTTAAATAATTATAAAAAAAATTGTTGGAGATACCACCTTACAAAACTAACTTCTAAAAATAATATTAAATGTATAATTTATTATTTATTATTTATTATTTCAAATTTTATTTATATGATTCATTAATAGTTAGTAAATAGTCAAGATTCTATATTGTGTCACAATTTTAATTAAATGTTTATTTGAGCATATTTTAATAATTTTAAGTGATTATGGTTGTCAGAATAAGTATAGCATCTTTCTTTTATTCAATTAAAGTTTTAAATCTTTTTCTATTAATAATTAATTACAACACCTTTCTTTCACACTATCACAAGGGGATGTTTAAGATTACTTATAAAAATAATTTATTGACTTATTTCATTATGGTATCGGTAATAAACATTTTTTAGTGTTTGGATAAACAACTTATACCGATGTCAAACCGATAATAAGAAGTTTTTAAAGAAGTTAAAACACTTCTTACTTATAATAAGTTGATAAGTGTTTTTGTAGAAAAGCATAAGTTGTTTCAAATAAGCAATCCTAAACACCCCTTAAGTTTTTTTTCCCTACAATAAGGGATGTTCTTCTAAACCGTTAAACCGTACAAACCGTTTATATAACATTGCATCGTATCTCACCATAAAGTGCGGTTCGTGATGCTGTTTGCGGTTTGCAGTTTTGAGTTATCAAACTATTGTTCAAACTGCACCACACTGCATATTTTGCATTTTTAAATTTTATATATATATATATATATATATGGGAGGGATAAAATACAAACCAAATTATTTGTACAAACCGTGAAACCCATCGATTTCTTTGTTTATTTTATTAAAAAAATCATGGAATTATTTAATATAATGAAATTGTTTTAAATAATGCATTTCATGACGAAAATATTTCATATATTTTTGTTCCTTTGTAAAAATTAAAAGGCAAATTGCATGAAAAAGTAATGTACTTTAACTTGATTTCTATTTTGGATAACGTACTTTCAAAACTTTCATTTTGGTACTTAAGATGTAAAGTTTTAAACATTTAAGTACCCGGGTAACTGGTTGAAGTATTCACCGATTATCATGCTGATGTGTCGAGTGATGTGGTATCCAACTCGGTATTATTTGCTGACCTGGTCAATGACGTGGATTTTTTTAAATCTAAAATTAGTCTTTTTTTAGTCTAAAATTAGTCTTCACTGGGTTACCCGAGTACTTAAATGTTATAAAACTTTACATCTTAGGTACCCAAATGAAAGTTTTGAAAGTACGTTACCCAAAATAGGAATCAAGTTAAAKTACGTTACTTTTTCATGCAATTTGCCCAAAATTAAATTACTTCATGTATTTCTCATTTTGATAAAATATGTTTACTAAAATTAATAGAATGAAGATGATAATGTACATAATTATTTGAAATGAATTATTTGAAACAATTTCATCATATTAAATAATTTCATGAAAAAAATTCACTAAAATAAACAATGAAATCGACAGTTTTAATGGCTTGTACGAATGAATTGATTTGCAAAATATCCTCTTGGATTTTGTACTTTGGACTTTGAGTTTGATCTGATTGTCGATATTAATAAATCAACTCAATAATTTTGTAATACTTATAATTATACAATATGTATTTACGAATCAGATATATTGGAGTTTATTATCTTCTTGAACTGTGGTTACTTTATCGTTGATTTTATAATGTATTTTTAAACTTGTAATTATTGGATTTTGAGGCATAAAGTGTGATAGGGACAAAACCGTATAAACCGCACCACACCGCAAACACCCATAGAGTAAACTACAAATTTGGTCCTTGTGGTTTGTCGGAAATAACACTTTTCATTACTACAGTTTTCAAATTACAATATGACCATCATGGTTTACAAAAACGTTTGGATTTATCTCTCTCTCTAATAGTCATTAAAAAATTCTTTAAGGGGCATTTTTGTCCTTTTATCAATTTTTTTGTCTTTTACCCGATCAAAACCATATGAACCAAAATCGTTTTGATTAGGTAAAAGATAAAAAAAAATCAATAAAAGGTCAAAAATGTCATTCAATTGTTCTAACGAGTCTAATTTTTATTTTTAAACTGTAGAAAATGTAAACATATTTAAGGTTATGAAACTATCAACGTCTAAGACGTTAAAACCCATCGTCGTTGATTGAACCATGACCTACCACATGTTTAACGTGATATGAAACACTAGTCTTGATCCACGACGACTATTAACGAGGCTTGTAGAGTATTAATCAAATATCATGAATTGGGTTAAGGTAAACTAATTGGATCAAAGGCTCAAGAGTATTGTTCCACCAAACCACACCCTCCAAGATTTGGTCATATGTCAAAAACAACCCTCAAATCTTTTATAAAAATCTAACACCTTCACCTCATGGAAAATAAATGGCTTTTTTTAATCATCTTACCCGAGTTTGAATCTAGACGTTATAAAAGTCTTTAAATTCACTTGCAATAACTTCAAATCATTCATGACCATCTGAGGATTAGCCGATGCACGTAAATTGACCTGAATATTCACGGTTACCCAAAAAAACATAAACTCACACACTCTTACATTTGATGAAGTTTGAACTTTTGACCTCCTAGGAGGCCAAAGTATCATATACCGCTGTGCCAAAGACCTTTTGGTTGTTTAATTAATCTTTGTTGCGGGTAATGCCCGTTTTCAGAAAATGAGATTCGTCTGATACGACATACGTATGAGATGATGACTAATCTTATGAATCACGTAGACGAAATTTCGAACACAATTCGAAGTATTAACAGCTAGCGATTAAAAGTACATATATGATTAAAATATATTGGGAAGAGCCAACAAATAACAATTGGGAAAAAAAGATAGATTTCTCTTTTCAATTTCTAACAAAAACCTACCCAAATTCAGTATTCTTTTTCCCTCCAAATCTCATTCAGAATCACTTTCCATGCTTCCCATTGCCTTCAATCCCCTGGGTCTCTGCAAAAACCATTGTACAACTCATTACAGCACAATATACAACATGTATTCCAAAAGGTACAAGTTAGCATTGCATCATTTCTGGCCCACAAAGGTTCCAAATCAGAAAGCAAATGCACAACTTTCAGAAAATATATTCCAAGTCTGTTTTTGGATTTGGCAGAAGGGTTTGCAACCATGATCTGATAGCATAATTAGTTACAGATTTGACCAAAAGGGTTAACCACCTTCTTGGAAGTCTTCTTCTCTCTAACTTCATATCTTTCTTGGCATAGATCAGATAGCCATGCTCCTGGACTAACCAACTGCAGACAAACCACCAAAATTCAGATCAAGCAAATCTTGAATGAATCAGAGCGAACCCATGATTTGAAGAACTGTCAAGAAGGAAAATAGGAGTGATTAAGTGATTTTACAAGTAAGGTTCTTTGAATCATCTTGGCCCTTTTCTTTGGCCTTTGAGGCAGTTTACACCCTTTCATAGCCATGAAGTCTTCTTCTTTCTCTTTGCTTGATAATGTGGTGAACAGTTTGGGCCAAACTGCCCTTTTGCTCTCTTTCTTTGCATCCACATTCAACACCTTCTTGCTGCTGCTACTGTCGTCGAATCCTGCTCCTGATCCCCGTGTCGAGTAGTACCGATCTTCTTTTTCCGGTGACGATAATGCCGACATTATCTTCCTGTTGGTGACCCTAAAACCAATCAGAAAAGCAAGAAACAACCCACAAAAACTATGTTTTTCTATCTTTTTTGTGCAAAATTAGCTAAGATCTAATGAAAAATGTAAAACCCGTCGAAATCCTGGTGTCCTATTTGTATATATGGATTGTGTTCTTCACCAAAATTCCCACACAAAAAGGCTTTATAGATGCATTTCAAGAAAGCCAAACACCCATCAAGAAAAAGCACCAAACTTTATCTTTTGTCCTATGGTTTTCTCTGCACCCGAACAGAACCCATGTTCTCTTTTCGCTTTTTAATCAATAAAATACCAAAAAATAGAAAGAAAAGTTGAAAAAACTCCATAGATCTCTGCAAATTCTACCAGCTGCCAAGGGCCAAAGATCTAGGGTTTTGGTTTTAATCATCCAAATACAAGATTTAGGAGCAATTTAAGCTGAATTTGAGGTTAGTAATCAAGAAATGAGATGGGGTTTCCATGGATAAACTTTGTTTTACCTATTGAGACGTTGAGGAGATGAAGCATGAAGAGGAGGAAGAGGATGATGAGAATCTTGTTCATTAACAACCCTTCGATCAACACGTTGAGATGTGATTTTCTTCTTCACAACAATTCCATTTCCATCTGATTTCCCATTCATAACTGTTGACTCTTTGACCTTTACACATCTCAGTCTCTTTCTATTCCCCCACTGTAACTTATCCATTACGCCAAACTTTCAATCTTTATCTCTGATAAACAAATCAAAACACCATTCCAGTGATGAACCCTAGCAGATGATAATAACACCCAAGAACAAAAATATATATACAAATACAGAATACCCACGTGAGGATCTATGCTAAAAACAGCATCAAATCTTGGAAATAACCCTGCATTTCAAAATCATTGAAGAACATGAGAAAAAAATACAAATCAAACAAAATCCCAGATGAAAAAAGTACAAAGAATGGAAGGTAAAGATGAGGGACATTACAAGAACAGCAGAGCTTCAATCTTTATCTTCCCAAAATCAAGAGTTCTAACATTTCTTGAAAACCCAATTTCTGTGATGAACTAAGAACACAAATTACAAAAAAAAAAAAATACAGAACACCCACTTGAGGATCTAAGCTAGAAAGAGCAAGAAATCCTCCAGATCACCCTGTATTCAATAAAGAATGGAAGATAAATATGAGGAAGGGATTGCAAGAGTAAAACTATGTGAATATACAACAGAAAATGGTGGAAAATGGAGGGGATTCTTTCTGCAGGATTGAAATCAATTTAGGGTTTCAAGGATTCAAATTGGAAAGGGGGTTTTTTGTAATTTAATCTGGGGGGAAATGGGATCTTTGCTCTGCCTCTTCTGTGTTCTTGTTTGTGTGAGAGTTGTGTTGACAGGAAGGAGAAGAAGTGGGGGTTGTGGTTTTGTTGCATATTTTCCACCCTATCGCTGGGTTTTGTTTCTTTAATCATTTTCATTTTGTTTTTTCAAAAGTTTTGTAGATTAGTGGAGATCAATTGTTGGCCGTTGGATGTAAAGTGGACGGTCAGATATGGCCGCATCAAGGCTCCAACTAACCTCGGGTGTAGCAGCCTTCGGAGTCTCTTAGGAGCACGTGACATGCATCGTCCCACTCCCTGACTTTAGGTACGTTTATTAGAAGGTTAAAATGGACAATTTCTGCCTCATATTTATTTATTTAATTAATTAGTATATCTCATTAAATTCATTATAAACGCTTATACTATTTAATATAACAAATTAAACTTATTTCACCATTAAATTTATTTCATTATTTAATAATATTTTACCAATATTTATATATACTAAAAATATATTTATGCAATACAAGGATATATATCTCGATTTTAATATTTCATTTTATTTTGTCTTTATAGATGTTATAAAACGATTTATGTAGTTTTGAGAAAAGTGATAATGTTTTTATTTTTGAATAAAAAATCTAAATCTAAATATATCAATATTAATATCAAATTAACAATCTAAACTTTTTTTTGTAATTTCTTTGATTCAATTTTTTTTATTATAACTAAATTTAGATTTAATAACTAATTTATTTTTGATTTAATAATATATAACTTTAATAATAAAAATAATTAAATATTTTGTTAGAATTTAATGATTATTTTAATTATATTTTAGATTTTTTATATTTAAAATGAAATGTTTATCTTGTATTTGACTATATTTATTTGTAGTTAGTTACGTGAATTCGAAAATGAAGTTTTAATAAATTGTACTTGCACACAGTTTATTTGTAATCTTAAATTTTAATTAATATGCATAAATAAACAGTACTTTATGCATAAAAAATGGTTTTTAAAGGTTTTATCAAACGTTTTATAATATAGTATCAAAAAGGTACTCGCACAACGTAGTGAGATATATATATTGATTTTAGTATTTCGTTTTATTTTTTATCTCAGTCGATATTATAATATGGTCTTATATGATTTTGAAAAAACGATAATTTGAAGATATCACAAAAATTTGACTAACCTATTAGTATATATTAGTATCAAATTAATTATTTAAAAATTCTTTTTTTTTGTGTACTTTTTTAATTCAATTTTTTATAATTTAATTTAAATTTAATAACAAAGTAATTTATATTTGATTTAATAATATCAAATTTTATAAAGATAATAATTAATTGTTTTATTAGAACACAATAATTATCTTAATTATATTTTAGATTTTTATATTTCGAAATGAGATGTTTATCTTTTATTTGATTATGTTTATATACAGTTAGTTACACGAATTTAAACATGAAGCTTTAATAAATTATACTTATATATAATTTACTTGTATTTTTGAATTTTAAGTAATATACATCAATAAACAGTACTTCATGTATAAAAAATGATTTTTAAAAATTTTTGTTAAAAATTTTATAATATAGTATTAATAGATTATATGTTTCACCAATTAATATTTTTAAAAACATTTAACCTAATACGGGTGTGAAAACGTAGAGGGTTGTTGAATACCGGGTAAAATTTGATTCTAATTTTTATATATTAAAATAATCATATTTAAATGAATATATAAGAAGTAGAGGTAAGAAAATTGATTGTTAATATAAATATACTAGAAAGATATTCGCATAATGCAGCGAGATATATTTAGATTTTAATGTTTCATTTTATTTATTTATTTGTCTCAGTCAATGTTATAATACGATTTCTTTTTGTTTTGAGAGAACGATAATGTTTTTATTTATAATAAAATATGAATATGAAAATATTTAAAAAAATATTTGTATTAGTGTCAAACTAACTATTTAAATTTTTTTTGTGTATTTATTTAATTCATTTTTTTAATTTTTGGTTTAATAATATAATTTTTGTAAAGATAATAATTAAATATTTTGTTAGAAGTCAATGACTATCCTAATTGTATTTTAGATTTTTTTTTATATTTAAAATGAGATGTTTATCATCTATTTAATTATTTTTATCTGCAGTTAGTTACACGAATTCAAACATGAAGCTTTAATAAACTATATTTACATACATTTTACTTGTAATCTTGAATTTTAAGTAATATGCATCAATAAATAGTACTTCATACATAAAAATTAGTTTAATATAATGTATATATATATATATATATGTATATATATGTATATTAACTCAATAATTTAAAATTTTAACAAAAATTACTGATGTTTTATTAATAACTGAGTTTAGGTAGAATTCATTCTTAAAATATCAATTTATTGGACATTCTCTTTCTTTAAATTGGTATTTTGAGAATGAATTCTATGCAAACTCAACTATTAATGGAACATCAGTAATTTTCACTAAAATTTTAAATTAAATTAAAAATTATTGAGTTAATATACACTTGTAGGTTATGGGTGATGCAAATTTTAATTTCAAATAATCCTCAAAAGAATCATATTAATGGCATGCATGAGAAAAGTCTTCCCATGTTGGTAGCTATCTATACCTAATACCTATGCATTAATGTCATTGGCTGAAGCATTGACTTTGGTTGGGCCAAATAAAAGCCCAAAATAGGCCCATCTCTTAACGGGCCGAAATAAGCCATAGCCCACAGGCTCCACATGGATCAAGGTAAAAATTTAAACACTTACAAACATAATTTTAAAAAAGGTAATATTATGTATTTATAAACTTTTTTTAACAACAATTGGAATGAACATTCAATAAAAAATCCATACCTCAACAAGAAAACCCCGTTATCTATTGTATTCTAAACTTGAGGCCCGATAGGGACCGATCTGGGACCGGTTTTTGGTCATCACTGTTCTTAAGTATTAATATATGCAGTAAGACATCGAACACTACAAGTTTATGACTGATTAAGCTCAAAAAAGGTATTAGTTATGTGATTTATGCTTCGATTAGATCTTAAATATCGTTGAGGAACAAAACTCGATTAAAAGCTAGATGATAGTAAATAACTTGGTTAAATTAGTTAGAATTTACTGTAACACATATGCCTTGGAGGGTTACATGTTGAAAACATAAGTTATAACATCGATTTATGATAGAGTATATTTCGATTTGAGTCTCTAAGGTTTCTTAAAATTTGTGATTTTCGTCTCTATGGTTTAGAAATTGCAAATTTTCGTCCCTAAAATTTGTAATTCATTGCTATTTTTTGTTCTTCTGATTTACAATTTGTTGTTGTTTGATCCATGTGGTTTACAATTCTTTATTGTTTTAGTAGGAATTAGTCCAAAAATGAAAATAACAATAAATTACAAATAATAAGAATAAAAATAAAATTTCTGAACCACAAGAATGAAAATTGAAATTATTAACAAATCACATAAACAAAAATTGTTATTTACTCTTTATAATGAGTAAAATTACGAATTTGGTTCCTGTGGTTTTAAAATTTTCTTGGATTTCGTCCCATAATTTATTTATTCCAAATAGGCTTTAAAGTTTGCATTTTTTTTAACGTTTTGATCCCTGCCACTAATGGAAGTTAACTCCTGTCAGTTAAGTGAGGGGCATTTTGGTCATTTCTTTTTTTTCCTTTTTTTTATATTAAATATTATATATATATATATATATATATATATATATATACACACACTACATATGTATTTACAAATTTTTTTGCATGAGGCACAAGGTTTTGGTGCATGAAAGAACACCTCACTACCGATCAAGGAAGCTTCAAGATCTTATCTTTAAAAAAAGGTAATTTTGGAAGGTCAAAAGGTTTCTTTCACCGATCACTTTTTTACTCCCAACTTTCACGTGCGATTTGTTCTTTGCCATTCACATATTTCAAATTTCAAATATCCGCTTTATTTTGGTTCTCTATTCCAGACACCAATTTCAAAATTGAAATTTCTTTCTATCTTGATCTTTCATCTTCTCCATTTTTCAGACAACGATGTTGGAGATTACTGATACATGTTCTTTGACGATGTAACATTTTCTTTTCTTTTTCATGTATACATATACTTTACAAGCTGACACTAGAATATGAGCAATCTAATCCATAAATAGATGCCCCAAGTAGAGATCTGATAGTGATAATTCAACATTTGTTCTCAGATCTTGTTACCTTTATCGACATTTGATCAGTCGTTCTTGATTTTAATTAATAGGGTTTTGTCTTTTGTTGTTTTAAAGTTACTGAAACTCTTTAAACAAAAACAGAGTAATCTACAACAACAAAAAACACCTATAAAAAAAGTTAAAAGACTAAAAGAGGAAGAAGACAGAAACAAGTTCGCAAAGGACTAAATGTCCCTTACTTAACTAATGGGAGTTAACATCTGTTAGTGACAAGGACCAAAAAGTTATGAAAATGTAAACTCTATGGCCTATTTTGGAATAAACAAATTCTAGGGACTAATCCAAGAAAAATTTAAACACACAGACCAAATACATAATTTAACTCCTTTTTAGTATAATATTTAAAAATTTCCCAAGATGTTCAAAGAAATATTTGATCATAAACTCTTTATATAATAGTAGTTAATGTATATGATTTTTCTTCTTTTAATATAAAAATAATTTTTTAATATAATTATATTATTAAATAATATAATGAAAAAAATACTTGCTATATATAATTATATATATCACATACAACATTATAACTTTCTGTTCTTATGTCACATCTAAGAAAGGACACATTCTCATCATGGCATATAAGGTTTGAGTTTATAGTCACATCTTGCATCATTTTAAACCTTGATCGGTCGAAGTTGAATATTTAAAAAAAAAACCATAAATGTTATGTGCATTTATTGGAAACTTACAAAGTTATAAAAAAAATTTGGTACCAAAGTTATATAATATAAACCAGTGGCATAATCAGATAATAACTAGAAAGGTCGGGACTGGTGAGAATTTCCACTATTTAATCAATCATAATTGATAATAATTACTAAATCAACACTAATGAAATG